TGTGAAAGTCATCAGAAGAGGCTTGAGCCTTGGTGTTTACCTGATCATGTTGACTCCATCAGCTCTCCTGTCCCTCAGTCAAAATGAAATATTTAGTGCTATGGTTTGGTTGTTATCAAACAGGATCTATTAAATCCACCTTTATGTCCATTTAATGCAGCGGTAGAAGCTGCTGTGACAGAATGTTTAGTTCTTAATATTTTCTTTATTCCTCCCATATGTTTAAAACTGGAACACTTTATCAAAAATAGAAATCTATAGTTTGAACCTTCACGTTTTAAAGAATATATACAATATTGTTCTAGTTAGTTCAATAATAAAACTTTGTTTTATTAGATGTCAAGTGGGTCGGATCAGTACAATCAAAACATAATTACTTATGAATAACTAGTCCATGTGTTTTACCCATTTGTTCTCATGCAAATACAAATACAAATATATTAGAAAATATTCAAATTTAATGAGGTATTTGACAAAACATCACTAACATGAAGTGTTGGTGCGTTCTTTTTTCACTTTCAACATTCACCAAGTGGGCCCTATTTGAACCCCGTAGCGGGCCGTTTTTGGCCCACGGGCCGTATGTTTGACAGCCCTATTATTATTTTTAGCCCAAAGAAGAGAAACATTTTGCAAATGTATCTCTTTTTTTTTGTTTTTAATTTGAAACCGAGTTAAAAGTGTAGTAGCGTTGTGGAGTAGCCGTGGTGTGGTCCACAAACAAGTCAAAACACACACATACACACACACACTCTTTCCAGGCTGTAAAGCATGTCGACAGCACTCAAGGTCTGGCTTACGTGTCCTGTCATTCCATCACCGCATCAAAGACCGAGAGAACGTCTGCGCTTTAATCGTGAGAAATATCGCTTCAAAATAGCCTGGTAACCACAGCTGCATGTCATCCACTGTGGCTAATGGCTGCACAATAAACAGCAGACGTTCATGGTCTCACAGTGCATGTAAACTCAACAACAGTCACCTGCTGGACACCAGGTCCACTCTGTTAGAACGATAAATCATTCTCGTTAGCCTCTGCTCCAGTCCAGGCCCACCAAATGTGAACGATATATTGTGTTTATATTTGGGGATATTGTAACAAATTCAAACGCAGCTGAACATAAAGTAAAACAAAAGACGACATCTGCAACTCAGCTGTGAAAGAAGTTGATGACACGCATATTCGTACGTGTCCAGACTAAACAGTCGTTCATATTGACAGTGAATGTCTTCAGGTGGTGGTGCTGGTGGTTGTTGCTGAAGAGGATTCGTGCTCCTTTTTTCATTCTGTTTCACTAATCACGACATGTGTTTCAAAGAGCAGAGCTGTTTTATGGACAGGGGGAAAATTTGTCTGTTTTTTTTTTTTTTTTTGTTTTTTTTGCGGTTGTGGTCTCAGGCAGAGATGTCAAAACAGTGTCAGTTTGCTGGTTGTGGAGGGTCAGAGCCACAGCAGAAGAATTCAGGCCGTACAGAAAGAAGGGTTGTTTATGCTTTAGATCCAGTTCATAACGCTAAGGGTTCCCAATCACAGGGGCGGGGACCAGTAACAGGCCGTGGATCATTTGGTGGTGAGCAACTGAAAATTATTTTGTTTTTCAAATTCACGTGCTAGTTCACGTACGCATAGTATGTATGTATATATAAACATGCGTCGTATTACTTTACGTATAACTTTACGTATAACTTTTTTTTTTGTTTTCTAATGTCTTCTATCGGAAGTTTGGTCTCGGAGCAGCCAGTGTTCAACCAGGCAGCCTTTGAATGCGGCCCTAGGAAACTATGATAATTGATGTTTATTTATTTTGATCCACATATGCAGCACAGTACAATGAAATACCACTCTGCAGAGGTCGTGGCTGGTTTGCATTTGGTTTCCAAAACCTCAAAAATAATACAAATAAACAAAACATACTTCAATCACAGCCCAGAGATTTTTTTTTTTTCCCCAAAAGAATTTTGTTTGCAGCTTCTGCTGCAGATGAATGTCTCACATTCACAATGTTTTTCCACATATGGATGTGGCGCTGCTACATTTATATGGTTCATACTTTATGTTGACTTTTTTTTAACGTAAGATTTCTGTTGCACAAAAAGACAAATCAGCTGTGGATCAGTGCACTATTGTACAGGTTTTGAAGCACATGCCTCATGTACACCCAACAAGTCATATGCTGTGGCTATGACAGGGTGAAAGAGAGGACAATCGAATGCAGCGTGGGGCCCCCGCTGACTCCTGGCTGCCTCCGACAGATGTGGCGTGGTGGTCGGAAGAAAACTGGGAGAGGATGGGGGTTTCTTAAATTGGCCAGAGCTACGTTTTGGGAAAAGAAAAAAAAAAGAGAGATGTTCTGTCCAGAAATCTGGGAACAGCTTCTTATTTGCGTGTTCAAAACGATCAATCTTAAGTAAAGTAAATTGTCTTTCATTTTAAATTCAGATATTTTTTTGTCTGGTTTATATTTTGCAATGCTTCAATTTGCTCCCGGGAGAGGCACAGTTGAGTCAGGGAGAGGTATCGTTCACGCCATGACAAACAATGTGCTGGGATGAAATAAATGACACCGTCGTGACAAAGTGATGTGGGAAAGTGCCGAGGATTCTCACATGACGCTGGAATATCCAGGCCGTTGTTACAGTTACATAAGCTGGAACGCCACTCGGCTTTAAATAGCAGACCCATTTCTCCTGCTCTTTGAAAACTTTGAAAAGTTTCCCTTCCTCCAGGTCTCTCATTCTCCGCCAGAATGAGGGAGGGGCAGATGGGTGAGGCCATTTGCCAGACGCAAGCTGTGAGTTTTGCCACCGAGCGGATAGACCCGGCTGGGCAGGAAAACAAAAACACGGGAAAGAAAAAGAGAAGTCTTTTTTTTTTCACGCCCTTACATTTCAGCCCGCTCAGTTGGAGATTCTGTTTTGGTTTCCTATGTTTTTTGGGGTTTTTTAAATTCCTTTTTCTCTTTTACCTCTGACACATGCTCTTTCTCACATTTTCATCCATGTGGTAAAATCTGAGTAAAAGTAAGAAAAAAAAACCTGTGAAAGTGAACACACTACTGCAATGAAATGTGACCTCTGTATTTTACCCATCACCAAAGTGAGTGGAGGGGGGGCAGCTTAAGCACCTGGACAGCAGTGTGTGGGCACAGTGCCATGCTCAGAGCACCTTGGGGATTCGAACCTAAAACCTTCTAACATCAGATCTGCTACAACATTGTTGATGGTCACGACCCAAAGACTGGGTTGCAAGAGATGTTTTTTGGGGTCGTCTCGTATCACGTTTCCCAGGAGTTTTACAAACAACGTCTATTGACTTGGGTCGCAAAGGTTTACGACTTTTAAAATATGGGTCCCCAGAAAAAAAAGTTTGGGAAACACTGTGCTACAATATGCTGTCAGGCATCAAGTATGTGGTTCGTACCACTGGGAATCGTACCCAGGACTACCTGCTCTCTGCGTCCGAGACAAGCATGCCAAACGCTACGATATGGAACCACCGTAGGGCTGCGCACAGACATACATCTCACCGGTCACATGTCAGTGGGCAGATGTGGTTTTGGAGAAAGGTCACCTGTTACTTGACATCAGTAGAATTTTAGAATTTTATTCTAAAACATTTTTTCCTGGTTCCTGTCTTGGATCAAAGCTTTTTTAGAAAGTGAAGCTCGTGGACAGCTGTCTGGACTCAGACTCTTAACAGCTCATTTTTAATCTGCTGAAAATGAAATACAAAAACTGTGAAGGGAGAATAAACGCTACACTTTCAGCATCCTGACACAAACACGCTTGTGTATGTGTGTGTGTGTGTGCGATGAGAAAGCCGTCTATTAGCTCCTCCATCACTCAGATGCCATGAGCCAGATTGTTTCTCTTGGCCCTGACAGACATGCAGGCAGAGTGGAAACATGTTTGTCTGCTCTGACCTCAGGCATATTTCTCTGGTTAGCCGCCGCGTTCGCCTCTGTGGAATTCTGGGAGTGCGTTGTTGTGACATTCAGATTTCATAGTTGTTCGGAGATGACATTCATTCGTAATGACCCCACTGCTTCTGACTACGGCTTCAGGACTTATTAAGGTATTAATAAACTTTAATGCTGATTGATTGAGTTAGCGTCGTAGATCCATCCACAGCGGTAATCCAATAGAAGAAGGCATCCTGATTAGATTAGGAACCAGCTGAAGCCTGTTGGAGGCTGGATGTGGAGCAGGAGCAACATTTCTCACACAAACAGCCCGCACTGTGGGCATCCTGATGAAAATCAGATTTAAATATGGAAATTGTAGGAAAATATTTTTTTTCCCTAATAGATAAAGAGCTGCCGTACAATAATCTTCATTATAAAATCCAGCACCCCCCCGTCCCCCCACCCGTAACTGAAATTGAAATTCATTGGCCTTAGTTTTACTTAGAAAACATCCCTGCTGCAATGAAACGCAATGAAAGGAAAAAGAGAAAATACCATCGGGGGGCAGTGTTTCTGCAGATTCATCACTGAGGATGTTTTGTGATTCCTGTTTGACATTTGGAGAACTTCTTAGAGAATATACTTTAAAGATTTGACATGATTTATTATAGAATTAAACTGTGTAGAATTTTAAAGTATTGTTTTATCATTCATATATTATTATGAGTCAAAAGAAACATAAGTCACTATTAAATACCTTAATCTCAGCCAACGTGAATGTGGTTTCCACTCTGCATCTGTAGTTACTAGTTGCCCTTTGACCTGCCGACAAACTTCACAGATATCTGTATTTTTTTTTGCCCATATGATTTTTTATGACAGTTTGAAAGCTGGAGAATTGTCTCAGCCAATTGACAATTGACAGCCACAGCTGCAGGGAGAGGGTGTGTGTGTGGGGGGTCCGGGTAGGGGGGTGGGGGTGAAGGGGTTGTGAGGTTGATGGTAAAGATTTCAAACGGACTGACATTTATTGCACTGACATTGACACACATTCAAAATGACATTTTTATTATTATTTTTTTGTACTTGACGTGACATCACATCTTCTAGTCACTTCAGCTCCATGGACTGTTCACAGTCTGACGGTGGTCTTGGTTTAAAACTGGAATGTAGCTGAATTTACACTTTAATAACTCCACAAAAAAATAGGATCTCAGAGAGAAAAAAAAATCAAAATTGAAGGTACCCATGTGTCGAACAAAGAAATGCTGGTTGGAAGTGGTTTGAGCTGCAGAGGTCGGTTGGGTAATTTAGACCCATCCATGCAGGACCAAGATATGAAAACTCTGATCCTGCACCGGGGCGTTAGACCACACAGTCTTTACGTAGTAGCAGGACTACAGTGACGGGCCAAAGACCCCAAACATTTTTAGGACCACCTCAGCTGTTGTTTTTTAATATTCTCTCAAAAAAAAAAACATATATAGGCAACTCGCACACACTGATCCATTTAAGGCAAATCCACACCGCTGCGGGTTCCACGCCGGTGGAACTTGGAACCGTTTGTGCTGAAATGTGCTGTTTGATCTTTAGACCTTTTCACTGTTTTCCTTGGTGTCGGCCGGTGTTTTTTCACCAGTTAATCAAATAATACACGTTCACAGGAAAATAAGCGCACTCTAAATTAACTGCTAAGTGGAAACTGTTAACACATGCGCCCACGGATCACAACAACATCTGGTGGCAGGGTGGGGCGTGTGTTTTAATAGCCCCGGACCATCAGGCTCTGTTGTTGCTGCTCGGCTCAGTCACAGGGGAAATGCGTGAGAGTTTGTTGACTGTTTTCCTAATATGGTAGAGAAAGGAAGGATGCCAGCAGACATACCGTAGACCAGGGTCCAGACCGCAGCCTTGCTGACTCACCGTCTTTTTCCTTTCTTTTATTTATTTAATTAAAATAAATTATTATTCGACAAATTTTCTGCATGTCCAGACCAAATATGGGCCAACAATTTTACAACAAATGTTTAAACATGATGGTGTCATGGTGAATTTATTTATGAAAAACGCTGCTGCCTGTTAAAGCCATTCTAAGAGGAGGCTGTCCTCACCTCTGCCATAAATGTTCATTAGGTAAACATCACACATCAACAGCTGTCTCTTTGGAGACGGTCCCTGAAATGCACATGGTGAAACAGACTTGTGGTTTTCTATGTTATATTAACTTTACATTAAAAGAAAACAAACTTTTTTCTTCTTCTTCTTTTTCCTACAGTTCTGAGGGGTTTACAGGATGGAATTTCTTTCAGCCTTGATTCAATTTCTACTTAAAACTCTTGATTTTTTTTTTTCTGCAAATGAAATGTCAGTTTTTAAGATAAATATGATGCAGTAAAATATCTTTTTTAAGTTTAAATAATTAATAAGTTAAAAATGTTCATTTAAATTTAATGCAGTATTTCCTAAACCTTTTCTACCATGGACACCCTTTATGGATAGGACTAGTTTCAAGCCCCCCTCCAAAAGAAACTAACAAATGAACTGTATCTGATGTTGACGTTCAGTCTGACGCCTCTTACATCAATATATTTAACTATATCATTCAGACTATCGTACAACATTATTACAGCTTAATGTGATTGTAATTGTTGTAATTGTCACAAATTATCGACCAATGCGACTAATACTCCAGTGTGACATTTAGTTCTGGTAATACTGCTGAGTCTTCAACAGGAGTAAAGAGTAAATCTGTGTATTTTTGTGTCTTCACAGACCTTCTGCTGTCCCTAAAGATGGAGCACCAAAGGTAAGAAAAAAAAAACACACCTGGTGTAAAACTGTATAGAATGAAATACCTAAAGTTCTTGTTGATTGGACTCCATCTATGTTGGAACTCATGCTTCGTTGGCCCTTCTGAGATGATGTCATGACACAGAGTGGATTGGCATGTGGACCTGACCTCAGAGGCCGAGTTTATGGCACCACTTAAACTTTTATGGCTCCAGCATGACTTTGATCCGACCATTTTTTTTGTCCATTTTGACGTGTCTGTGGTGCGGACCGCTCTGTTGGCTTGCAGTTGCTGTGTTTTGTTGTTGTGTTTTTGTTTCATGCATGGGTTTGTTGTGAATTTGCCCGTTTGTGCACATTGTTTGTATTCACCTCCATCCAGGATGAACCTCAGGAAATCATTAAGCCTGTGCCAATCACTCACCCTGCTCCCAGTTCCACGTATACCAAACCATCCACTCAGCCCAGCTCCGCATACAACAAGGTAGCCCGTCCATTCGGAGCGACGGCGGCGGGTTCACTCACTCGCGAAGCTTCCCCCAAAGTGGCCTCCATCCCCTCTGAATCCTCCGCTTTCACACCAGCTGCTCCTTCTCAGCCTCCGCAGCCCCCCTTCCCACTAAAGTCCAGCTTCCCCTCATCATCAAACTCCTCTCCAGCAGCCACGGTGGTCAGGTCCAGTCCTGCTCGCACCGCCTTCACATCCTCGTCAGCCTCACCCTCCTCTTCTAACTCCTCATCGCCGGCCAGAGCGACATCCTCACAACCCGCCGCCCCACCGTCCTCCGTCTATAACACACCCATCAACCTCTACTCTAATGTCAACGCCTGCGAGGTGGCTATGGGACAGAGGAGGGGTCTTCTGGAGAGCCAGGGTCTGTCAGAGCACTTTAATGGGTAAGTACCACAAACTGACCCCTAAACACTGGAGACTCATAGTGCAAAAAAAAAAACAGGCATTTGTTGGGTTAGTTGATAATGCGGTCTGAACTAGGATCTCATAAATGCATATGAAATATTCTCAGCTGAATTCAGTGCTCGTTAAAGCCAAGAGTTTGGAAGTCTGTCAATATTTCTGGAAAATCCTCTCAAGCTTCTGGATTCTGGATTTCTGTGAGCGTCTTTAGACTTTTTAATCCTGTCAGAAACTCTTCCTGATGCAACTCCAACATAGCTGGATAGTTGAATGAAGTTTTAATGATCGGGTCAGTTGGGGGGTTATGGAGCAGGGTTCCCAACCACTGGCCTGGGGACCGGTACTGGGCCATGGATCATTTAATACACAGCAACACAGAGTTAATATAAACTTTTATTTAGAAGTTTGCGTGTTAGTTTTATTTTGAAAAAATCAAATTTTTCATAGACGTTTAAGTCGTAAAACTGACTTTAGCAAAAAAGATTGAAACACAAACGTTTTAATTGATGAGACCAGAAAGAGAGATGCATCTAAAGTAAAAAAAGAATTCCAAGAGTCTTAGTATGAAAGTGCGTAATATGTAAAAATCAAATCATAAATGATGCATCTTATTGTGTTTTGTTACACCTCTGGCCACACATCCTCCTCCTGCAGCTGAGAAATGGTCTTGCCAGAAGACGATCTCACATACAGATCTTTATTTAGTGAGTACACTCTGACAGAAGCTACTTTAAAAAAAAACAAAAACAAAACACTTTTTCACACAGCTGCTGGGGAGGACGGTCCAACCCACGTTGCACATGTTGTTCAAATCTTCCACAGGGAAACTGGAGCAGGAACGGCGTCTAGACAACGCTCTGACTGATGCTACTGTGTGTCTGTGGTTAACTGACAGTCCGGTCTGCAGCTGTGCCTAACGGCACTGTCTGCCCGACCAACAGACAGACAGACGAACAGACAGACAGACGGGTCTGTTTCAGCACTTGTTTCTAATTAGTTCACTTTTGGCAGTTCTAAGGACAGAGCAGAGTTTGTCTGGTCTGAATTCATGGCTGTGGTTCACACATGTTGACAGTTGTCCAGTTAGGACTGAAATACAGTCACGCTTTTATAACTTTTTTTTGTCACCTGAAAAAAACAACAAAAAAACAAGGCACTGAGTTCATTTTTTTCCCCCTGCACCGCACATGTGCAGGAAAATGAGTTTCTTACAGTATCCCTGAATCTGTGAACCTTTTTTCTGCTGATTATAATCATTATCTTTGTTTCACCAGAGTCTTGTTATTATTATTTTATTTTATTGGGGTTTTAGCTTCGACACCACCTTCAGATGTCTACTGTAAACTTTAGTATTATTTATTTAATTTTTTTAGACAAAAGCAAACTTTCTGGATTGATCCTCTATGATCTACGTCCTACATCTGTAGAAGCTGCCTCTAGAGGGCAGCGCAACAGGAAATACTTCTTTAATCTGATGTGGAGAACATTTTAGAAGAGTAAACAGAATTCACCAAAAATGTTCATGAAACTGACACAAAAATGTGCATCTAGGATGAATTAAAAAACGAATTTTTTTTTTACGTCAGAGTCTCATTAAAATAATACCTAAATGTAATGTATTACACTAACAATAATATGTTTTTTTCCATTATTATAAAGTTTAGTCTCGGAGCCACAGTCGGACACTTTATATCTGTATCTCCTTTTATTTCTCTGGCATATGAAACCCCCTGGACAGTGAAGTTTTATATCAGCTGGTGTGTGTGTTCGTCCGTGCCTGTGTGTGTGTGTGTGTTACCCTGACCTGCATGCTGTTTTTTGACTTTTTCTACCCACACATTCTCTCAGAAGGGCCTGCTATCTCCATCT